TTCGTTCGTCGTCAACGGCCATTGAATCTCATTCCCAACATTGGCTAGAACCGCGACAATGTTTCCCCCCTGGATAATTCGAACGATGGTGAAATCACCGCACGCGAGTTCAACGCTGTAGGATTTGTCGATAAGGTTGAGAATAGCGCCGGGAACACGGATGAGAACCTCCTCCGTCGCCTGTGGCGGAGCAGATGGTGACTGGTCGTTGGATGCATCTCCGTGGTCTGGGAAGAGATTAGGTCCGAGATTGTGCGAGGATAGAGAAGGATAGAGATAAGGGGAAGAAGAGACGTAAGGATTTGTGTGAGCGAAAGGATTATCAGGAATGGATTGATCAACTTGGGGATACATTGCCGGTCGTTGCTTCCCGTCGCCACCGTAAGAAGGATTCATCTTCGTCGTGTCGTCGTCAATTAGAAGAAAAAATAAATCTTAGGGAGGAAAAAAAAAAATGATGACTTTCCAATTTTCAAGGTAGAGACGACCGTGGCGTAAAAATACTCCCGCCGGTTTAACCAATAAAATTGTCGATATCATTAAAGCAATAAACAATTTGAATCCACAAGCATCAAATCTGTATTTACCACTTTTTCTTCTCTATTAGTTTTCAATTTAATCATGAGAAATAAAAAAAATTACAAATGTCCTATATCCAAGTTTTCCAAATGAAAAAAAAGCCTATTGCGATATGAAGAAAGAACTATAAACTTTAGCTAGTGTTGCAATAGATCAAAAAACAAATAAGAATATGGATGGTGATATCATCAATATGATAGTAGAGGGCATCACTAGAATTCCGATTTAACATGCAATTTCACTCCATCTAGATTGTGTAAATCGCATCATGCCAAACTAGCAGAAGCCGTCGTTGCAAAAGTTTTGATTCCACGAAAGAGTAAAGTGCTTGAAAAAATAGAAGTCCTCTACAATTCACACCGTATAGATGAAGCGGTGTGAATCGAAAATATGTGCAAACTTATTATGTATGTTCTATGGTCGATGTTGGTTTATGGTCTGTTTAGTTTTTAAGAAGTTATTTTTCAATCGACACCAAAACCATTTGTGTCTCTGTATGGTGTCTCTACATGGTTTCTCTTCCTTTGCCAATAAAAGACGATTGAAGAGAGACATAATGCATACCTTTGTGTCCATTGACACAAAGAGAACTCTAGAAAGATAAAAAACGTTTTAGAGAGAAAAAATTTCGAAAGATCAGCCTGAAGGGCACTTGAACGATTGTTAATTTTCATTTGCGATCTCAACCCGATCTCTGAGTCGATTTTCAGAATAATCCGTGCCAAATTCGTCACTAAACCAGCCAAGCTATGTGTTCATGTTTAACGCTTCCGCATAAAAGAATCACAATCGGAGAAATCACAAAGGAGGAACAATGTATTAGTAGTAAGTACAAAGTGTTAGACAATGAGAGTTACCAACAATGTATTTATGCCATTGATTGGAGATGGAGTTTGATGTATTAATGCTTTTGACATAAACCCAACGCGTCAAATACAGGTGAAGTATGATGTTTTTGTCATAGACAAGTGCATCAATTATCATTATTTCTATGTGATTAGAACGAAAATAAAGAAACACAAAACACACCGAGCTTAGCATAATTTTCAGTACCAACGTACAAAACAGAACCGGAAGGAACCAACACAACAAGTAAGCGAGAAACAAAGAGTCTAAGCGAAGATTTGGTCGACGGGCTTGGCAACCTCCTTGTGGTCACTTTCCTCTTTAGCCAGCTTCTTGAGGCGAGCCAGCTCCAAATCTCTTCCCATCTTTCTCTTATACATCTCAGCAAACGTGATTGGCTCCTCCAATATCGGCTTCTCTCCTTCTCTTACTTTAAGTGGATACACGGTGGCATCGGGGGCCGGATTCTGGAATGTAGCTATGGACAATCTGCTCGAGTTTGAGTTCACCACAGCCTGATGATCAGCATTCTTGAACCTCCCATTGCTCAAAAACTTCATCAAAACAATTCAAGTTTGACCAAGTCAAAACCAAAAACAGAGAAAGAAAAAACCCAATAAATGAGACAGTACTGACATGACCGTGATCGCCAAGATTGACGACAAACGCTCCTTCAACAGGCTGAACCGTAATCCACGTCTTGCCATTGTCACGTGTGGCTTGTAATCCACCGACTTGGTCTTGTAGCAGCAAAGTAATGGTTCCAGGGTCAGTGTGACGCTTGAGCCCGAGGGTGAGATCAGGCTGAGGGCATTTTGGATAATAATTAACAACAATCTTTTGGTCCATATCGACGCATGCATTGGTAAGAGACTCTTTCTCAAGACCCATAGCTTCAGACAAAACCTCAAGTAGCTTACAAGCCAAACTCATAAGCCTCTCACTATACTCCTCCGTCACTTTCACCCATCCTTCCGGCTTATCTGGCCACCGTGAGTAGTCTCTGTTTCTCACCGGATACGAGAAATACGTTACAATCTCTCTCCAATCTTGCACAGCCTCTCCCTGCATTTATAGTATAATTATTTCGTATTTAACCCCAAGATTAAAACATAATAACGTATTTAACCTAGTCGTTACCTGGAGGTGACTAGAGACAATGAATCCTCCTTTTTTACCACCGGACATGTCGAAACGGAGCTTCTCTTCCGGAGATAAAGCGAAGAAGTCACGAGCGAGAAGAGTCATATCCGCTACCAAGTTAGTATCGACGCCGTGATCGACCACTTGGAAGATACCCCAATTCTCACAGGCCTCCACGATTTGACGGCAGATCTCTCCTCTTTTACCATCAACATCGTCGATACCGGCGAGAGAGATCACCGGGATTTCGTCGCTAAACTCATTGTAAGCGACTTTGGGGCGTTCGTCCTCGTCCCGGACAAATTTAGAGTTGAGCTTAGACTCTCCGGCGAGCTCAGTCAAAGTTCCTGGAGCCATTGTAATTACAAAAACAAAGGACTAAATTAAGGGACAGATAGAGAGAAGAGATGTGTAATGAATATATAAGAAGAGAGTGGTAGCTGAAAACCTTTCAAAGCTTGTGATAACTGACGAACGAAGAGGTCGCTAGCTACCTACCACGGTACTACTACTCTATCTTCTCTTTCTTCTTTCTAGAACACAATTTACTCAACTAACTACATCTGTTTTTAACTTCATAAAAATATATATATATATATATACATTTGTGTTTAATATTTTTAACGAAAAACATTATAAACTTACATGTTATTTGGCTACATTCCAAGTTCCAACGTATCACATTATTATATATATATGATGGACGCTTATTACAGTTTCGTTACCCTTAATATGATCTACGTTTTTAACGGTTGATAGAAAGCCACGTCTAAAAAATGCTTGTGGTCAGTGGAGAAATCACGTGGCAGAGACTTTGCGTTACAAAAATCCCAATCATCAATAATTAAATTTTGGGTTTGTTGGGAAAGTAGTACGTTTCTAAAATTTAATTGGAAAAATAGTACGGTTACTATTTAGAATTAGTAAAATAGACAGCTTTTGTTAGGTGTGTGAGAGAGAGACGTGTGGGGACTTTAGTGGGCCAGTTTTTTTTTTCTTTATTAAACATTCCTTCAAAGTTTATTAATTAAAATGCTCTTTAATAAATTTACTTTTCTAAAATTGATCATATAAATAAAAATCTATGTTTTTTTCTCTATCATTTGATATGCATTTTGTTTAAGGATTTTTAAAATTTATATTATAGGGCACTGTACAAGATATAGACCGCTGTACAGATATAGACTACTGTACAGATATAGACCGCTGTACAGATATAGACAACTGTACAGATAGAGACCAATGTACAGAATTGTGCATCTGTACAGAAGGATATTTGTTCGTTTAACAGTAAATTATGATTTCATTTAACAGATGCATCATTCTGTACAGTGGTCTATATCTGTACAGTGGTCTATATCGACCGCTGTACAGATATAGACTACTGTACAGATATAGACCACTGTACGGATATAGACCACTGTACAGAATGGTGCATCTGTACAGAAGGATATTTGTTCGTTTAACAGTAAATTATGATTTCGTTTAACAGATGCATCATTCTGTACAGTAGTCTATATCTGTACAGTTGTCTATATCTGTACAGTGGTCTATATCTGTACAGTGGTTTATAACTGTATAGATATTATTTGTACAGTGCTCTTAATATAAAATTTAAAAATCATTAAACAAAATGCATATCAAATGAAAGAGAAAAAAACATAGATTTTTATTTATATGATCAATTTTAGAAAAATAAAATTTTACTAGAGAGCATTTTAATTATTAAACTTTGAGAGAATGTGTAATATAAAAAGAAAAAGAACTTGGCCCACTAACAATAAACCCCACATTTCTCTCTCTCACCCCACTTTTTTTCTATTAGCGAGTTTTTGTATCTCACAAATTGGTGGACCCGAGTACTATCCCAATATTAAATAGTCCCTGTACTAGTTTTCCAATTAAGTTTGGAAAACGTACTGTTTTCCAACTTATTCCTTAAATTTTTGCAGGCAATAAATCTTATTGAGGAGAGAATTAAAAACCCTTTTTCACAAAATCTTCATTAAGCAGACAAAGTAAAATTAATGATCGGATTTGTAGAGTATTAGGTTTTACTGGTATATCAACTTGGATTTGAGGCTTTTGATTAATGTATTATATAATGTATGGATGAGTAACAATACTGTTTTTGGGATTAGGTAACATATTTATTTATATTAGTGTTTGACCACCAATGTGAGTTTTTAATGACTAACGTTATAAACGGGCTGGGCTATTTATTGTAGCCTTCTCAGTTCATCAAAGGCCCATATGGAACAAAGACGGCTACTTTTTACCAGGAGAGAACCGGACCCAACGGCTAGTTTACTAACGGAACGGTAACGGCTCATCTTCCACTTCCTGAGAGAGGAGCCACAACGGCTAGTTTATCTAGAACACGTCTAACGGCTACATTTTTCACCCATGCCTTTATAAGACTGCGACCTAAGCGAGCTTCACACTTTGTTCGATCTTTCCCAGATTCTCTTTCAATTCAGTTTTCGTTGTTGTTTACAAAGAAGTTGAAATTCAAATGGAGACTCCATCATCAACAAGAAGGGTCACTAGATCACAGGCTCTCTCTGCAATCAACAACTCTGATTCTGGCTTCAAATTCCCCTTTTCATCATCAAGTACGTTTGTCTTAATTTCCATCTTCTTTCTTAAGGTTCTCGTAGTTTCTTTAGGTTCTTCCTCTTTCTGAATCTAACCCTTTTCCTTGGTTTTTGGCTCAGAAAATACAGAGGATTCAAGCATCGGTCAAAGAAAGAACATCAAAGCACAAGAAGACAGGTCTGCACTAATCGACATAACCAACGACTCACCGATCGTGGGTCTAACGATGCAGACACCTCCTTCAGGGTTCATGGTTAAAAGGAAAAGCAGCAGAATCAAGAACACGCCTGGATCTGGTGAAGCCCTTTTGAGAGGACAAGTCAAAACCCTCTTGCACAAAGTTGAAGAAGGAACAGAGGTTATCCATTCAATAGAGACTCGTCCTTTTATCCATCTCGTCACTTCTCCAATGAGACTTCTCGCTCCAACTCCAGCAAATACTCCTCAATTTCCAAACTTTTCAGATAATGATGTGAAGATTAAGATCGCATCACCGATTGTTGCTGGACAATTGAGAACCCCTCAGATATTTGAAGAGAAAGAAGAGAAGAGTATGAGCGTAACTCGTTCTTTGCTGTTTGACTTCACGGACAAGTTAGCATCATGGGAAGAAGAAGAAGAAGAAGAAGAGGTTGATGGGTTGTGTGAAGGAATGAAGAAGATGAGTGTAGAGACAACTCAAGCTGAATTTGCAGGGAAACATAACAGATTTGTGTACAACAGTGAAGACGAGGAGATCATAGAGGCTAAAGAAGTGTTGCATTTGAAAGGAATTCCAACTCCTAGAGGAAAGCATTTTAGGTTTGCTACTAAAGAAGAAGACGACGAATAATCTTCTTTGATTCTATTGGGCTTTGTTTGCTTTGTATTAGTCACGAGAGAGTGATCTGTACTTTTCTGGGCCCAAAAAGGCCCATTTATTGGAGAAATAGGAGAAAAGTCGTTGTCTGAAATGAGGACAAAAGGACGTTCCAACGAACTTTTCTACTTGTTCTATATTTGCCCAAACTTCTTCTTTAGTGTGAAGTGAACGCCAAGACATTTTCAACTATATCTTGTTTCTAAATTCTAATTCTAGAATATTATAAAGACAAGCACCACGAAAAACTTAACAACTTCTCATCATTTTTGTCATTTAGTGGAAATTCGTCGGTAATGTGTTACATTTTAAAATAAAATGATTATATAATATGGTGGAACCATCACACACATTATATCAGCTATGGAATGAATCTTGATTAAGATCTATTAATTGTTTAATTTGAAAGACCAATTTATAGTGCTTTATTTTTTGAGATATGAAGATGAAGTTTGTTTTAAATAATCAAGAAAATCAAATAAATATATATATATATATGTGTTGTAATTGATTTAATCATAACGTGGTCAGTTTCATCTTAGTCACTAATCTAGTCACCATCCGTTTTAGTAACAACAACCAACAGTTGCAATCTTTGGAGAGGTGACTAATTCTTTCTTTATAAAAAGCTGAGGGTTCGTCATGACATGGACCAACCCATACAACTAAGGCAACAAACATCACTTAATTAATCTGCAATGGTTCGCGCAGAGATCGAAACCGGAGCTCCTTTCCGGTCTGTTAAAGAGGCTGTCACTCTCTTCGGCGAGAGAATTCTTCTCGGAGATAATTACATCAGCAAGTCCGTCGAGGTTATATATATCAAATGCACTTTTTCCATATACAAATCGTAACATATATGTATATATGAACTATATATTAACTTTGTTGCATATATTTTCGACCTTGTGAATAGAGAAACAGCTGCAAAAGCATCCAAGATGAGCTGGTGGAAGCAAAGGAGAATCTGAAGAAAGCTGAGGAAGAGAACAAGGCTTTGTCTCAGCTTATCGAAAGCCTAACACAAGAGCTTGAAACCGCTAAAGAAAAGCTTAATCACTCACTTAGAAAATTCCGGGAACACCCTCAAGTCGAAGATGACCTCAAATTCATAGAGGAATCCACGGTTAAGGAACCGGACAACATAACCGAGATCAAGATGAACCGGTTTGATGGAAATGAAGTGTATGGTGATCGTCTAGAGAGGAGGCGTTCGGTGAAGTTTGCTAACCCACCATTGTTAACAAAGGTGATTGTGGGCAAAGAGGAGAAGAACCAAGTTATGGTGAAGAAGCAGACGAAGAAGATGAAGCCATTGGTTCCATTGGCTGCTTGGCTCTTTGCAAGAAACCGGTCTAGTTAAACCACTTTAGAGATCCTCATCTCGTGTTTGGTACTCATGCGTGCCTTGCGAGTTAAGAAATAATATCCATGAGTTCATTGTTTTTAATTTGGGAATTCATTCAATTAAGATTTTGTTACATATTAATAAACAATTGTGTACTTATCATAAAGTCTTGTTGGGATAAATATTAAGTTTTGATTATATATACAGAAAACGATAGTTTGTGAAACGCTAGCAATAAATATTGCTTAAGATCGATGATATTGGTCTATCTATTTCAAATTTGATTTGACTTAAGATTACGACCATATATGTTTTTTCTGTTTTTTTTTTGGTGAGAATGTTGTTGCGAACTTGCGATGGAGTGTGTTTTGTTTGTTTGAATTTGCGTGAAACTCTGTGACGAGGTATTGTTCTCTATATATATTTTCTTTAGTATCGTGATGATGACGAGTTTTCTAACACCAAAACGGATTGAATTACAAATTTAATGCTCTAGTTATTAAGTACTCCTAATACCTTTTACATACACACTATCAATAATTATAATCCTCTAATTTATACAGCTATAATCGAAATAACTTGTTAACAATTCAAGAATTTTATGGATTTAATTGAAAAAAACTTTTTAACAAGTCAAAAAAACATATTAGGGATTGGTAACGTAACATTTTTTTTGTTAAAAGGATAATTGGTAACGTAACATCAAGAGGTCCATCCGTGATCCGTCCACAGTGGAGGAGATTTATTAGGTTTTTGACAGAGATTAGGTTACAAAAAAAAAAATTATAAGTGGGCCTGGATTTATAATTTAACTGGGCCTGCAGTCTAATTACTAATTTGGTTACATGGAGGCCCCTTTGGGCTTTGGCCGACGACCTAGGAATTAGGGTTTCTGTGAGAAAACGCGCTTATAAATTAGGGCTGCACGAAGCGAAGAAGAAGAAGGTTACGTGACGGTAAAGAAATGGGTCGTGTGATTAGGGCACAGCGTAAGGGTGCTGGTTCCGTTTTCAAGTCCCACACTCACCACCGCAAGGGTCCAGCTAAGTTCCGGAGCCTCGATTACGGCGAGCGAAATGGTTACCTCAAAGGATTGGTGACCGAAATCATCCACGACCCAGGCCGTGGTGCTCCTCTCGCTCGCGTCGCGTTCCGTCATCCTTTCCGCTACATGAAGCAGAAGGAGCTGTTCGTAGCCGCCGAAGGTATGTACACCGGACAATACCTCTACTGTGGTAAGAAGGCTAATCTTATGGTCGGTAACGTTCTTCCCCTTGGATCAATCCCTGAGGGAGCTGTTGTCTGCAATGTTGAGCTCCATGTCGGTGACCGTGGCGCTCTCGCTAGGGCTTCTGGTGATTATGCCATCGTAATTGCTCACAATCCTGACAGCAACACCACTAGGTAATTTCTGGAAACCAGTATTTAGTTTATATATCTTCAAGTTGCGTGCTGTTGTTATTTTATGTGTAAACCTAATTATATTACTGAACATCACTGTATAACTTGACTTTAGTGGCACTTTACAAGATTGTTGATGTGTATTGATCTGTTTGTACCATATAAAAAAGGGTTAAGCTTCCTTCTGGATCGAAGAAGATTTTGCCAAGTGCTTGCAGAGCCATGATTGGGCAAGTTGCAGGTGGAGGAAGAACAGAGAAGCCACTTCTCAAGGCTGGAAATGCATACCACAAGTTCAAAGTGAAGAGGAACTGTTGGCCTGTTGTGCGTGGTGTTGCGATGAACCCAGTGGAACATCCCCACGGAGGAGGAAACCACCAGCACATTGGTCACGCCAGTACGGTCAGGCGTGATAAATCTGCTGGGGCTAAGGTTGGCCAAGTTGCTGCAAGGAGAACTGGTCGTCGTAGAGGTACAGCCGCATTAGCAGCCAAGGCAGACTACTAGACTTGACTTGAGACACACTCTTCTCTGCTTTCTTGATTTTGTTTCCGTTAGCACCCCATTGTTGCCGTTTACTTTAGTATAACTTTCTTTTTTTTTTTTTTGTGTTGAGAGCTTATGAGCTTTGTATCTAATCTATACCCTTTGACGGTAGAATTTTGAATTATTTAATTTATGAGATTTTTTTGGGGTCATCTTGATGGTATTTTTTTTATACTACATCTACATCTCCTGCTATCTTACAACACTCTCTTTCAAGCGATTACACAATTCAACTCTAGTTATCAATCTTTTGTATAAAAAGACACTACAAAATTCACTTCAAATTAATTCTGATGCAAATTAGTGTTGTAATCATTGATTTAAATGAATTTTGGCAGGCTTTCTCAACCTCTTAAACTGCTGTTATTCAGGTATCATTAAACTGGTGCTCTAAACAAAGATATCAATTAAATTGGTAAACACAAATTGATCAAAATTGAAAGTTGTATCACCTCAGGTTTTGTTCCTTAACCAGTGATAGACAAGACTATAAAAATGAACTCTAATTTTTTTTTGTAATTTGGAATGAATCAGAGTCAAGATTATGTTCAAAACTTATTTTTCTCATACCTTCGAAACTTCATTCTCTTAGCCCTCGGAGCCTCAGCCTCAAAGTTGGGCCTAAACCGGTCATGAACATAGACGCAACTATCTCCCAGCTTACATCCACTCACAGTGCCAAAGTAGATACATTGTTGCTGAATCTTATTATTATTATCAATGCGTCCATTGAATATTCCAGTTTGTGAATGGTATTGGTTAGTTTCATGATTATCTGTCCCATGTTCCCTTATAAGGTTCTTGAAATAGTCTAGACCCTTCATAGGTTGTACTACCGGTTTAGCTCTACCAGTAATAACATCTGCCCGGTTTAAGTTCATTGGATAAGAATTGAAACCGGTGTGAGGACCCCTTCCAAGTCCAATTGATGATTGAACATTGTTCATTTCAGAAGTACGGAATGCGGAATAGGGTTGGTGTTGGGGTTGGGGATTTACTATTACCTTTGGTTCTGAGAAAACATTTTGAGGTCTGTGGAGGTTAAGGTTCATTGGCAGAGAACTCGATTGGAACCGAGCAGGCTGAGGTTGTTCTTTAGCTATACCGACATGGAAATGAACTGGTATACTAGACGGTTTTCCATTCATAGGCTTAGGTGGGGGTATGTTTCCATTTGCAGGCTTGGGAGGAGATACTCGTCTCTCAGGGTTAGTAAAAGACCGAGAAGCTGCAACACTGTGTTCTTGAGGTATAATTACTGGCTGCGGCTTTCTAGCAATGGGTGAGGCGGTGACAGGTTGCGGAACAAGTCTAGTAGCAGAGTTGATGTTAGTGTCAACGGGCTGATTCTTAGTTTCAGAGGATTTACCTGATGTGTCAGTGATCAGATTCTTGATAATTTTCGGGTCGCTGAGGAACTTGATAAGTAGATCAGTATCGACCAAACTCCCCTGTTCCTTGGTTTTCATCAGTGCAGTCAGAGCTGCAGAAGCAGCCAGACTCAAGTCTGGTGCAAGACCAGTAAGACCAGAAACCTGTTCTTGGGTTGAACAGGGAGGATTGGTCTCCAACTGACCTTGCTTGTTGGCGGTAAAACCGGATTCAACCGCACTGTGGGATGATTCCTCTGAAGATTCACTCTCGTCTTCAATTGGAGTGAGACGAATGGCAGGAGTTTTGCTGTCATCAAAGCATTCAGCTTCCACAACGGGTGAAACAGAGGGTCTACGTAAAAACAGAATGCAATCAGCAGTCTAATAATAACACACCAACAACATGTCGAAAAACCTAAGAGGTCTAAAATGCAAGAAAAGAAGGCAAAAATACCGAGAAGGGATGGCAGAGCGATGCGGATAGATAGCCTCCAAAACTTTTGAACTCCTCAAGTTTTCAGTTCGCCTTTCAGTGCTCTCGCCACCACCTCCAACCAACCAAGCATCATTGACAGTGAACTGTTTTGTCCAAGACACATAATATCAGCTACAAAAAGCTTCAAAGGTATTCCCCAATTCTGGATTACATTTAATTCATACCTTAGGAGGTCGTTTCCATTTGATCCGAGGAAGATTGGGCTTAACTGCATAGTGATTTCCTTCGAAACCAGGTGGAAGATCTGGTCCTCGAGGTTTCCCAGAGGATAGCTTTGGGTAGCTATGACGTTGAGGCTGAGAGGCAACTTTGGCTGGACAATCCTCTGTTCGAAAAACCTTAACCTGTTCAAATCCGCATAGTTAAAAGCTGAACACAGCTGAGTTTTCGTGTATCAATACCAAAACTTGATTATATTTTGTAAAATTCAAATAAATTTCATATAACGTTATCTTCAAAGATAGGGAAATTAAAGCCTCAACATACAAAGAGCCGTCAGAGAAACAAACAAGACTTGCTTCTTCACCAAAGTTGGTTTCTTTCACATCACATTCCAATTATCCATTGATTTATTATTAGATTGAATATTGAAATTAAATAATTCACCGATTCAAGATCGTATCAATTCGTTGAGTTTAATTGAAACTTCAAAATCGAGAGATTTGATGAGGAATTCTTTATCCAACTTTTATGATCCAAAAAATTGCTTAACGATTGTAACCGAGGTTTTAGATTTGCTAAAGATGGATCAATCAAATTCGGATTCACGATTGAAAGTTAGAAAAACAACGAACACATAAGATTTATACCTGACAAAGCTTAGGACCTGGTGGCCATGAAACCCTGGGTTTCGTCGATCTCTTCATCATATTTATAAAAGCCAAATTTCGATTTTTTTTTTAACCAACAATCGGTAATCGTTTTTTATCAGATTCAGATAGAGAAAGAGCCGATCAAATATGATTTCTTTTCTGCTAGATCTACAGATTTCTTAAACGAAACAAATTGAGATTCGAAGGATTTTGATTACGGATTTTGGTCAATAACGATGGGAGAGTCAGAGAGATCGGAGAGAGAAAACAGAAACAAGGAAGAGACGACGGCGGGAGGATTTGGGTGATGATTGATGAGAAAACCCTAACAACTGTCTCTTCTCTTCTCTTTTTTTTTTTTAGTACGGTGGTCTAGAATTTTAAGACGATACTTTAAAGACTGTATATTTTATATATAGGGGAGAAGCAGTTATTTATTTTATTAATTAATTGCGTGGTAATTCTCAGGTCTCAACTACTCCAAATTATTATTGGATTGGTGTCGATATAAAAATAATAACGTATACTTGATAATAACCTACCTATAAAATAGTAAGATTTTCTTTGGATTCCAAGAAAAAAAAAAATCATACTTTGAGAATTATTAATTTTTCATTGCTCAAAAGAATAGTCCAAATATTTTTTTCTTGGATTGGTGATAATGTTTTTATACAATACATATTGTACACAAAAAAGAAAGGAAAAGTCAGGTGAGTATATATGATCATTACATGAAATTTATAGGAATGGAACTCCCATAAAACAATTTTAGAATTTTATTTTTTTAATATGTATTGAAAAATTTAGCTGCCCAAAAAAACACATAATTTAGATTTAGCAAAAAATTTACTCGATTGCATTCCGAGTAAACTCGTCTAAAATATTATTACATAAAAAGTTACTTATCTTTTACAAAACCATATACGAAAATTAGAAAACACATATGTCAAATAAGTTAAACATAACGTTTCCCACAGTACACCAAAAAAATTGAGATGTTTAAACGTATTATGGGACTCGTAAGTCGTAACTTTATCCACAGATAGAGCCTTGAGATTAGTGTCGATAGAAAAAATCTCAAGGCAAAAAGGATCACACACTCACTGGTTTGCGCCATCTTGAGCATATCACCTAATTGCAACTCTTAGTTCCACTAAGGAAAACACTTCCTCAATTGCATGTTGCACCATTGCTCCAATAGACTCCTTCCAAGTACTTGAACCAGTTGAAGAACTATTAGTTCTTTAATTATTATATATAAAAAAAAACGAAAACCGAGTGTGACAGAATGATCTAATTGTAATAGAATGAAGAACGTAGGAAACAATTAGATCATTGACAGAATTAAGAGTGAAGAAGAAAAATGATCTAATTTCGGGCCAACAAAATTTGTGTAAAATGATAAATGATCTAATTTCGGGCCAACAAAATTTGTGACAGAATGAAGAAGAAAAAAAAAACGAAAATGATTGAAGAATTGTATAAGAAAACCAACTAGCTGAGATGAAGCATAATTAAGATTCCTAACATAAATCGTGGAGAGTACATTTTGTCCACCACTCCAACACGATTACACGAGACAAAAACACTAAGTTTTTGTTAGTGTCCTATCAAAAAATATATGTTAGTGAATTGTTTCGGCATTGAGCCAAGTTCATTTCGATTTATTCACTTGTGGTTTTCACATCTCTTTCTTTTTTCTCTACACCAAACCGTAATTAAACAATGTCTATTGTCTAGATCCATCTTGGATTTCATTCTTTTTATTGTATATCATTTTTAAGTAAACGCGTTACTAATTATCTCTGTCTTTTTCAACTGAAATCTCTCAATTTTTTTCATTGTCTATGAACACCACACCTATTACTTTTCTCCATAAAATATTTTCGTCTCTTATTTTTAATAAAAAAATCTTTTGTTAGTTATTATTTTTAATGTAACAAATTTGGAACTTTGTTTATTAATTTGACTACATTAAACATATGTTAAATGTTTGGTTTGACTATTTTTCACAAACTTTTTTGCAATTATTATGTGGTAAGAAATTTAAAATAATTTTAACTAAATCTTTTGGAAACTTTTGCAAATGATTTGAAGTTATTGAAAAAATATATATAGTATTTTGAATAGTTTGCAAGAAAATTTTATAGTAAACCATTTATGGGTTTGACCAGTTTTAAGTAAATCATTAACGTGTTAGACATAAACTAGGAAAAATATCCCATCAGTCAATAAAGAAATTAAAGACCAACAAAGATTACCAAAATAGCCTTCTCCTTAAATTGACTAAAATACCCCTCCGTCTTCAACCTCTATGACCCTATTTAAATCAGCTAAAACTCAACAGCCCAATTCAACACAGAGCTGACGTTAGCAATTGTCTCTGAAATCCAGATCCGAAAACCCAACAATGGCGTCAGAGAACAACGGACCCAGATCCGAATCCGAATCCATCACCAAAGCTGATTCCACCGTCGTTGAAATGCCGCCATCGCAACCTAGGAAGATAGCTCTGATCACCGGAATCACCGGCCAAGACGGATCGTATCTGACGGAGTTCCTTCTCGGAAAAGGCTACGAAGTTCACGGTCTGATCCGTCGATCATCGAATTTCAACACTCAGCGACTCAACCATATCTACATCGATCCTCACAATGTCAACAAAGCTCTGATGAAGCTCCACTACGCCGATCTCACCGACGCTTCCTCTCTCCGCCGTTGGCTCGATGTGATCAAGCCTGACGAAGTCTATAACCTAGCCGCTCAATCTCACGTCGCTGTCTCCTTCGAGATCCCTGATTACACAGCCGATGTAGTCGCAACCGGCGCTCTCCGTCTCCTTGAAGCCGTCAGATCTCACACCATCGACAGTGGCCGGACCGTCAAGTATTACCAAGCTGGATCTTCGGAGATGTTTGGGTCAACTCCTCCTCCACAATCGGAGACGACGCCGTTTCATCCCAGATCTCCTTACGCAGCTTCCAAATGCGCTGCTCATTGGTACACAGTGAATTACCGAGAAGCGTACGGTCTCTTCGCATGTAACGGAATCTTGTTCAACCACGAGTCACCTCGCCGTGGTGAGAATTTCGTGACGAGGAAGATCACAAGAGCATTGGGACGGATCAAGGTTGGTTTGCAGACGAAGCTCTTCCTGGGGAATTTGCAAGCATCAAGAGATTGGGGATTTGCAGGAGACTATGTGGAAGCAATGTGGTTGATGTTGCAGCAAGAGAAGCCAGATGATTACGTTGTTGCAACAGAGGAAGCACATACAGTGGAAGAGTTTCTTGATGTGTCATTTGGGTATTTGGGACTCGATTGGAAGAATCATGTTGAGATTGACCCGAGGTACTTTAGGCCATCTGAAGTAGATAACCTTCAAGGAGATGCAAGCAAGGCAAAGGAAGTGTTGGGATGGAAACCAAAAGTAGGGTTTGAGACGCTGGTGAAGATGATGGTTGATGAAGATCTTGCGCTTGCTAATAGGGAGAAACTGCTTGTTGATGCTGGTTACATGGATGCTAAGCAGCAACCATGATTTGATCTAGTATACAGAGAGGGAGTTACATTTATCTGCTTTTATAGAGTTTAAAATTTCGTTTCCTTTTTTTTTGTTGCTTTGATGGTTGTTTTGTTGTCTTTTTATGTGTTAGTTTCTTTGTTGCTTTTTAAGTTATCTAAATTGTTTCCCTCCAGTGTGTTGAGGATGAAAGCGCAGTGAATTTTGTATGAAAGGGCAAAAAGAAGCATATAAAACAGTATCACCTCTGTTCTTTTTTTATTCATGAATCTCTCAAAGTTGCTTCAAACTAAAATGACTCCTTTTACTTTACCCTGAATCTGGCTCTTAATCTACACAAACACAATTGTTCAGATATCACTTGGACAGAGAAAGTGAAGCATTTCTAAGGCAAAGAGAGCAGGTTCAAGGCACTTGAGAGAAAGAGAGAAATTGAAAGAGTAAACACCTTATTGTAAACAGTTAAAACTCACAAAAATATCAAACATGATTTTTGCGATTTGCCATTAAAAATTTTACATTTGAGATTGCTCAATCTCAGTCTCAGATCCAAATCAATTTACATTTGTGAATGTACTTCTCACAGAAGCCACACCACTTTCAATTCAGTTGGATTTCAGATTTTCAACACTTTTTCTTCTGCTTTAATTACAAATTGGATAGTGACAAAACGCTGCGTTTCCATAGGCTAGATCTCTTGGGACGGGGTCTAAGAGAGAAGTTGAGGCCAAACATTTCCTTGGACGCCAAATCCATGTCCACGAACCCCATGAGCTTTCCCACAACTGAGGCGCTCTCTCGGACATGATCCATGTCTTTGCTTTCTGACCAGAGACGATGCGCCAGCTGGAGCCGCCTGTGCTTTGTGTTCAGCCCAATGCCCCATCTCAAGAACAAGTTCTCTCTCTCTTCTTTCGTCAGTTTCTTCTGCATCATCTGACTTAGCTTATACCTCTCCCTGTTCAACGCCCTCAGGCTGTTTTTTTCACACCACAAACAGTTAAAAAAGCAAATACTTGATGTTAACCGTCAAAGAAAAGACTAGTGCTTTTATGTGAATATATATACACCTGGACATTGATGTAAGAGTGCGTCCGTTTTCTATAGCTTTGTTATTGTGGGTAAAGGTTTCTCTGATGTACTTGAGCCTACGGAGTTCGACCTCCATGTACAAGCAATCTTTCTGATCTCCTCTAAAGAGAAGGAAGAAGTAACTTCTGTGTGACAAGGAAACGTTGCAAGCATGCCATAGCTCTATTATCTCCATCTCAAGTCTCTTGAACTCCAACGGCCAGTTCAATGGCATGGTTAAATAGTCTTGTATGGGGTCAACCGCAGCGTCCTTGAAACTCTTTGACGATCTTAGAGCCAAGAACTTTTGCTCTATCTCCTCCATCTGCCACATGATAGAGGTGGTCCTCAAAATAAAGACGATATCTAAAGGTCGTACCAAGTATAGGTAAACGAAAAGCAAGCTCTGCTTGACCAAGTTAGTAAAACTAACCGATAGGTGAATGATTCGCTTGTCCCTCTGAGGAACAGTCTCTTCACCTTCGTCTTGGTTGACTAAAGCTCTACCACTTGTCTGGCGTGCATACAGAAGAGATTTAGAGGGAGAAACCTGTGATCCATTTGGTGATGACTTTCTCTTATTAACACCACCATCTAAAAAGTCTTTCTCGAACCAAGTTGCTGGCATGCTCATCCGGCTAATATGATTTGGCAATGGTGGCCTCTTGTTGTTGTACGGTTTCAGGTTGCTCTCAGCTCTTTCATTCTGATACCAGCTTGGTGGTGTGTTAGCATCTCTCTCAGACAGAGAAAAGGAAGAGCTTGATACAAAGCTTGCGCCACAGCTTCGGCTTCTAGTAAACCCCATGCCTCCAGCTGTTTGCGAATTTCTCTCAAGATGCCAAGCATAAGGCTTTACAGGAGATGGAGTGACAAAATCTTGATGTGTTGGGTCTATTCTGAGGTTAGAAGACTCATGAGGAAATGATTCGTCAGTAAGTGACAAAACACAGCGTGGAGAGACTTTGATCGGTCCACTTTTCTCCTTTGGTTGGATAGAGACACTGCTGACTTCCTTCACTCTTTCTTCTTCTTCCTTTTCTTCTTCAGTTTCTGTTGGCGGTCTAAAGTGCTTTGACTCTGGTTCACATATTGGTAGTGCACTCACAGCCTTACACCGGTCTGGAAGTATGTTTGGCCCTGGATACATGATGATACCGGGACTCTCTGTTTCTATGCATTGAAGTTCCGTGCAAGTATCTTCAGAATCCACCTCACTTGGTTCGTCCATTTCATGAAATCGTTTCTCCTGACCACAAGACTGATCTACAGATTCCCCCTTGTGAATGTGCGGTTGGTTTTTACTTTCTACCCCACGAATATTTAGTCGAACTTTAGTGAATTTACCAGGAGTTACAAACGTAAGATGTTGGGCTGGACTACTTGCACCCGAATTTAACCTAAAGTCTGCAAGCTGGAAAACATTCTCGTCAGAACCATGTTCGGTTGATTGTGGGGAAATCATAATGGACGCTTGCGCTGATAGAGGGCTTTCTGGTGTTATATTTAGAGACTCCCATGAACTACGCACACGCAGCTTGGGGTACTGACGTCCCAGAACCACCTGGAGGAATACAAAAACAAGATTATATATCAGCAAGATGAAAGGTTTATCGTGTTTTCTTTAAAGCTAAAAAAGAAAATGAAATTAACGTACATTTGTGTTTGTCTGTTCTGAGTCTGTTGATAATATCTCTTTTTGTGGGCCTTCTTCAATAATCTGTTGAAGATCCTCAATCCGAGAATAAGCCCTCTCTAATTCTTGTCCTAGTTGGAATACCTCTTTATTTAGCTGTAAATAATGAAAAAAAACGTAAAGTCTCTAGAGTGAATGGATCATGAAAATGATTTACATATATAAGACAGATCACCAGTATGAATGAACTACCAGTAATATAAAAGTTGGCTGTCACAAAAAAAATTATTGGGGAAGTGAGCTCTCATACTCTGCAACTGGTTTTTAGATATCTTATAGGTTGAATGAAGTAAATCGCATTACCTTTTCGATTTGGAGGTCTTTATCCTTCAGTAATGCAGTTGTGTCAGACACAACCAGAGCTTGACGAGGGCTGCTCAACTCACTCTCCAATTTAGCCAACTCTCTCTGTAAATGTTTAACCAGAGCTTTATCAGACATGACGACGTTGACTTGTGCATTTGTTGTCACCTCCTTTGCACAGCTTGCGAATAACAATGTGTTCCTTGATTGCTCAACATGTATTCTTGCAGGACTTAGTGTGCAGATTATGGAAGTTCTGGCATTTCCTCCCAAGGAAGTCTGAAGTATGCGTGTCAGCTTTGAATCTCTGAATGGAATGTGCCCATTTTTTCCTTTACTGCATTAAGCTAGCCACATAATTTAGTAATGTAAAAAGAAGCCACTTAAAGACAATACATACATTTCATCGTGGGAACTCAACTCTCAAGGAAACTTAAAAGCTGCTCAACCATCTTTAATTACAAGAAAAGAATAAAGAGCAGACTAAGGTGGCACAGATCACGGAATTTCATTGACACTAAAGGTACTACACAGGCTAACCTTAGCTTTCGAATGACAGTTCCTAGTGTTAGTAAACTTCGGTTTATATGACCACCTTCTTTCAACCTTGTGCCAGCTGATAATGATTGAGATGCACGTTCACTTCCAGCAAGATCAATGAAATTCTGCAGGACAATTAGTTAATCTATGTATATTTTTTATTTTGTTTTAGGTACATAATGGAAGATTCAAAAGTATATACCACTGTCGCTGTGAGAGTACTAAATTTATCCTTCGCCAAATATTCACGTGCTGTGCTTTCAACTGTCTGAAAAACATATCAGTCAGAAATAACATCCAAAAAGCAGCCTGAAGACTGCAGTGTCGTATCGTTAATCTAAATCAGCAAAATGCCTTACCAATCTCAGAATCTGATGAGAGCGGGAGCTAACTTCATTTAAAGCTGTCTCTCCAATATGTCGTTGAGCTGCAATGATTAGATGATACTTAGTAAAACTTGTGGCCAAAACACTAAAAGTATTAACTGAGTACACGTTTGGAAAATAAGTACCTATACAGATTGATAAAAGCTCCTTAAAATGATTCCAGTCCCGCAGAGTTTCCTCCGTGAGTTTCTCAACAACTGTTCCTTTCTGTCCCAAAGTAAATGACCAGTAAAGTGAGATTGTGCAAACCAATTCCATAAGATGCCAGTGCCAACTCTTACCTCAGGATCATCTAGAAGTCTGAGTGGACTAATGTCTGTACTCAAGAGGTCTCTTACAGACTCATTATAGATCTCCATGGCTGAGAACTTCAAAATGAATTCTCTTTCATTGTGCTGCAGAAAACAAAATAATTTTTTTTTAAAAGGGCGACAGTTACTGAATGAATTGGAAATAATGCGGTAAGATTACTATGAAGACTTTGATATTGTTAAGTTTACCTTCTCAATGTAATCATATATATCGGCCAAGGCGTAATCAGTAATTCCACTCATAGTGTATGTCTTTCCACTGCTTGTTTGCCCATATGCAAAGACACTAGCTGAAAACAGTTGAAAATTGTATCAAACATGAGCCACAGTGGATAAAAAAAAACTAAAAAGCAGTACGAGACATGCCTTACCATGAACCCCACTGACAACAGAGAGAGCCACTTCCTTAGCCCCTTGATCATACACCTCCCTGGTAGAACACTCAGGGCCAAACACTCTGTCTAGAGGCATAGGAAAGCTCAGCAAGATGGATTTAAGGATTAACTGTGATCAAGTAGTTGCAAAAGTGAGCAAGTCTTACCAAATGTGTACGCAGTGGGGTACATGGAACGCTCTGAGATAGAGAGATGGCTCCTGTATATGACCGTTTCATCATTGATGCACTCCCAATCTGCCACATCATTCCTTGCCCTTTCTTTCACATTTAATGGCCTCAGACGAACAGAAACAAAAATCTTCTCTTCCCTACCACTCGGCCCTTGCATCTGATCCTCTCCAATACCCATCTTCACCTGTCACCTCCCTTCCCGCATCCTACCCTAAAAGAAGCCAGGACAAGAACAACAGCAATGTCATACATATATAGAGAGCGAACAGGAATTATGAGAACTCAATCACTGAAGATCATGAGTCTAGTTATGAAATTGTCTTATATCCATGTCTCTGGCAGAAGAACATTGTCTCTATCCACGTGTTTTATATCCAAAATATCTCAGCAGAAAATGACAACATGGTTTTTCTCATCATTGTTTGAGACACAAACAGATGAAGTTTCATATAATATTGTGGAGAGAATTCCGCAATGGTCCCCCTCTTAAACAGTCTGTCAAAAAGTCTTCCTTGCATGTTGCATAAGTTCAAGCCTACACTTATATTTTATTCCTTAGAATCACGAAGAAAACACCAACAAAAGAAATCAGTTACCTTGGGAGAGTTGATATTATAATAATCACAGCCGTTTCTGCAGAATGTTCAATGTGGAGCCAAGAATCTTTAGTAACTCCATGTGCAGTGAGGAAACAAAGCTTTTGACTACTTACACCTGCCTACAAGAAACAACAAAGAACAAAAAAAAATCCAACACAAATTCAGCCGTAAGATCCAAGAAAGTAATTAATAATGAATAGAACGCAATTACACCTAAACAAATTTCTAAATTCTTTTGAATAGTGTGACATGCGTCGCCGGAGCATCAACCTATGTTTCGGCGAGGATCCCAAAAATTCCTTTCACCGGCTCACAGACTCACACTAGAACTTCAAAACAACGAATCTCGCAAAATTCATAACCAAAACTACAAAAATCCAACCATCTATGCGTAGTTAGTTCTACTGAAATCCGGAACCGCAAAGCATTATCCCAAACCCATGCCAAAAAATCCGGTAAGGGAATCAAGAACAATCAACGAATTTTTTACCTGCGAATGAGGTACGGAAATTAGAGAAACGATGGAGAACAATGGCAGATGCGACGGTGAACGATACTGACCACGACGGTGTTCCGACGGAGGAAATAGCGTTAAACGATCCAACAACGTAGGCGATTCGGAGAAACCAGAGATTTATTTCTCAGGCGACCTATTTCGCTTCGCTACAGCGAAAAAAATAATTCAGGTGTTTTCAAAAAAATCGGATATTCGCAGCTGTTAAATCGTTAATGGCTTTTTGTTTTCTTTGTCTTCATTGGTGAATTAAGGAATTAGCTAATTTTATTAGCGCGCTAAAGAAAGCATAAATTAGAGCACCTAATGATTTTTAGTAGACTCTCTCTTGTTGTTCCTGGTAAATCAGACAACTATCTAAACTCTCTTTTTTTTTTTTTTTTTGAAGCAGCTCCTCTAATTTATTTTTGCATTTGGTATTTTACCAATGAAACCAAAAAAGTTACCAAATTTCAAAGATTTCTCCTCATTAATAATATAAGCCATAAATGTGTGTCTCAATTTTATTATCCACAGATTTTTTAAAAAGAATAATAATTTTGTTTAGCCCATATATTTCTTATTCCAAAAAATAATAATGCACATTATCTAATAATTGATTTGGATTGAATAATCTGGAAACAATTTTATAGTAATTATCTAATGATAATGTTTTAGTTCAAAATCAGTCTACAGTTGATTAATCACATCATTAAACCTAATATCCTATGATGAACTCATGAACACACAATATGTCGATCTTAATGGTACATCACATCACATCACAACCACAAAAGAAATTGTATGATTTTGCAAGCAACTATTTCACTATTTGTACGAGCATCACATCACATTCTTGTATGGTTAAACGAATTTTTAGTTCACTGCGGATAAGTTAATATAGGTAAAATAATATAGAAGCAGAGCACATGAAGGCATGTGCGTTTGCTTTTTTTCTTACTAACATCTAAAGAACATAAAGTGGTTCAATGAAAATATCTTCTAAAGACCAGTCGTCGTTAAACCAATCTAGTTAGTCATCTAGATGGATTAATTAATAGATAAACAAATATGTAAAAGTAGATAAGCTAAATTACCTTATATTTATATTTGAAACGATCAACCTTTGCGATTAGCCAACTTTTATAACGTTTCAAATTATTGTACTTTTAATGATAGATAGCCCACTTTTATAACGTTCAATAGTTTGGAAGGTCCTGCCAAAAAAAAAATATTTTTGTTGATAACAAAAAGCAAATATATTTCTGTATCTATTAATTTATGGATATCTCCCAAAAAAATAAAATAAACACATTTTAGATGAAAACATTTGTCAGCCTCACGATTAAGAAGGGCCATAAATGAGAGGGCCATGCACATGTAATGAGAGTATGAGACCATGGACAAAACCATGCAGCCATAGTAATTATGAGACAGCCCATGATGATGATGAGGCCATGTTTCCTATTTTTCTTTTAACAATGGGTCTAGTACTACAAATCAGACTACTTTCCGTAATCAACGCTTACTTTTTTTTCCTCAAATCTTTTCATCGAAAGTAATGTCATGATGGTTCTTAATAAGTAAAGTTTTTATTCTAGTCATTTTCTTAAAAGTGAAATTTGAGAAACACAATTTTCTATCGTGAGCCATAGTAGTCGGCAAGCGCAAGTCAACTTGGAAACTGAGCTTTGAAAGTTAGGTAGGTCTTCGTGAAAAAGCAACTCCAAGACCAAAAATCATATCTCTCTCTCTCTCTCTCTATGTCACATGAAATGATGATGCATTTTTCTCTTTTTGTGTTTTTCATATATCCGAGATAACACTAGAATTTGTGACCCAAAAGAAGGGGAAAAGAAAATAGCTAGAACGCTACCGGAGGTAGCTCGAAGCCACCCAAAGCAAAACGTAGCTTAGGAGCGAAGACATGACTTCGAAACCTCTTGGTCCTTTGATGAACGGTGGGATCACAGATACCATCAAGAAAGTCCCAACCAGCCACGAGAAGATGAAAGCTCCGGTCCTGTTTCACAATATCAACCTGATCAGGTCCGGATTATAATCAAGTAGGTAGCAAAGGTTTCGCCATTAAGATCAGCTTATTACCCGTAAAGGAAAGTCCAGAGCTTCTTCTTCAGCCTTTGGTGGATGAAGTAAAAGGTAGCTATTAGTGATAACGCAACCTGCAAGGTTGGTCCTTCTTCTGTCGGGAACAGAACGGTTAGAACGCCAAGAACTGCAAACGTGGCTGCTGTTTTGACAAGGACTGCAGTGGGAGGAGTTTGGAATCTCTCGAAAACAAAGTTGACAACTTTGGACTGCCTCACTTGGCGGACCTTTTTCGATATGTCAATCTTTGGGTTTTTCCGCTCATGAAACTTCTGCATGATAATCTTGTCATGAGCTGATTCGATTGCATCAACACTGGGTTTGTGCCCTGCGTATTGCTGAATGAGAAAGTTCCTCGCTCCTTGAATCTCGTCCTCTGAGGCCATCCTGCTTATCCCAAGCCGTTTATATGGGTCTTTGACATTGATCCGAGGAAAGACAGCTGAACCTATGGAAGTTAACATTAGTCATTTTGGCTTGAATCATCGCTGTGAAGTTCAAGTTTTTAACAAAGAATAGTGCATTTCATTGAATTGCTAGCTAGGTATTGCTTCGTCTATTGACATCTAGTTCAATTCAAAACCACCTAATTATCACCACAAAGGAACACAAAAGCACAGTTTACAAACTTAACTCAGGATGATTGCATATTAATGAGTCTGTGCCCATTACTAGAAAGCTTAACCTTAAATTAAGCACAGCTCAGAATAATGTATTACCAGCTGAATCGTCTGCCATATCACCAAAGGAAGCACCCATGGCACGAGTGATCATAGCATTGCTTCTTTGTGTAGGAAGCGCCAAACAAGAACTGCGCAACACCAAAGAGAAGCACATTACAGATAACCATGAAGAAAGAATTAGCATATGTTTAATCAAACAAGCACCAAAAAAAAAAAAAAAAAAAAAAACTACCTTTTAAAAACAGGCCAAGCAGAATTTCGATTATTCAGTTTGCTAAGAACAGTAAAAGCTTGAGAGCTTCTCTGGGATGTACGGAAACGATCTGAACGCCAACGGAAGTGAAATCTGGGCGGAGTAACAGTTAACCCGGACGCATTCATCTCTAACTACCGAAGCTTTCCCTCACAACACCAACCTCAATCCCTAAAATCAAACGAAAATCAGGAATAAACCCTAAACAACCGCTAAACCAATAATCACACTATTACTACGCATTCTAAACCCAATTAACGCCGCAAAAAAAGCGAAGCTAAGAGAAATCGGAGCTATTTCAGAGTTCTCGCATCCCCATGGATTGAACGAAAAGCGAATTCTGAATTGAAAGCAGCTTCAGAGTATATAAGTGGAACCCGAAACAAAAGGAGAAGAGAACCGAAAGAAAGAGTACCAGAGGAGAAGAGACTTATCGCCGATGAAAACAATCCACAACACCACTTCCCTTTTCCTTCCCGGAACCATACACGAAAGACAAAACCTTGCTACGCAACGGATAGAAGTCTTATAATAATGTTAAGTCAACTGTTTTCAACAATCCGTCGTAGTCTAGCTGGTTAGGATACTCGGCTCTCACCCGAGAGACCCGGGTTCGAGTCCCGGCGACGGAGCTTTTTTTGTTTTTTGTTTTTTAATGCCTATTATCACGATGATGCTATTATTTATGCATTTATTTTATCAGCTGTAAATGGATATTTATAGTCATAAAGTCTGAAAAGAATGGATATAATATAACCAGAGTAACTGTTATTAATAATAATCCGTGATAGTAACTAGGCAACTGTACAACACTTGTAGTTTTTGGTATCATCCGTAGTTTTCGTAGCTTCTTGTGACGTTAGATTTACAGAGTCTGGTTGAAGATAGCCTCTTGAGCCCCCTGCAAAGACATTCATTGATGTGAAAAACTTCGTTAAATAGCATATTATAACACAATACAAATTAATTGACCCATCTTTTCTACAAAATCAGACAATGAAGACTCATTACGACCAAATTCAACTTAAACGAAGAATTAGTAACGGCCATACCTCAGCGGTGGTTTACACATCATGACTGAAACAAGGTTATAGTGGCTATATGACCGTTCTTCATCACCTGCAAATATTTTACCCCAACATAAAGTTTCACTTAACAATCTGCAAATACATAACAAGGATCAAAACTACTGAATTAGGGTTATTAAAAAATGCTTCACCTCAAAAGCAACATTCTGATAGCCATACACATATGTGGATCCAAAAGGGTTGCTCGTTGAGCCTTGCGTCTGAATAGCTGCTGGGCCACATTCCCCCAGTATTTCCTAAGGTAAAAGATAGGATTCCATGAGAAATGACTAATTCAATCTGTTCTGATTCTCAGATTTAACGATTATGATCAGTTAAAATCATGCTGGGATTTCGACATCAGATCATTTCCATGAATGCTTCCTCACAAGTTTCTTCCCATTCCGCAATAAGATCCAACAATGATGGGATGGGTAAAGAGATTTTACGCAATAAGATCCAACAATGATGGGATGGGTAAAGAGATTTTACGACAATAAAAACTTTCACAGAAAAATTGGTCAAGGCCTAACATAGACTAGCTTTTCATTCACTTTGGTCTGAAGTTAGTTTACCTTGACCTGATCCCAATTAGTGCTTGGAGTGATCTTGTTTCCACCTCTGTTTGCTTCTGCCCCATCCTCTCCACCTGAAAAGTGACATAAAAAAGTGATTTTGTTGGAAAAATAGACAACATATATCTGAGTTTTGCATAATTGACTGATATGAGCTGCTTCATTTGTATCACGCACGTACCAGAAATCACAAAGTTGCACTTAATGTATGAGTTGAAATCAGCATGACCGGGATAGTTGGTGTGAAGAACAAACTTTTTAACTTTGTGAGTCTGCAGCAAAGGCAGAATCGTGAATAAAGAAAACATATGAATGGAACATATAACTCTATTTGATGAGTTTCCTACCTCGCCGTCAAACAGGATGTCCAAACCACGAGTAAAATAGTTGTAAAAGTAATCACCACAGATAGTTGTTTTTGGTCGTGGATCTGACGCGGAATGAATAACCATTTGATCTACCTGGAAAGCAAAGGACAATTCAGAAGCAGAAATACAAATGTCCAATTGGGCATTGAACTGTAACATATAACACAGGCAACATAGTAAGAGAATCTAATGGAAGCATCTGTTCGCAATATACAAACAAGTTTAGAGAGACGGTACAGATCACCTGCTTTGGGTGAATCCCACATGGTCGACCTAATTCAGTCCATACATCCTGCTCGGAGGTACAAAATGATTAGTCCCAAAGAAGAAGTACACTAAGACAAGGTACAAACTTTACCTGTGGTGATGCACCAAAAGGCATATGCTGGCCTCCAACAGTAAAGTATAGTTCCTTGCCAAGCTGCATAAATGTTTAATTAAGTCATGCGAAGAGTAAGGAGCCGGCTAACTGCTAATTATGTTAGGCTAAATGATATAAAACACACAAAGGGGAAAGAGAGTAAATGAAGATAAGCCAAACCTTGATATGGACCTCTTCCATATACAGACTGCCAGGAGGTAAAGGAGGAACAGAAGCTCTATCCATCAATTTTCCGACACCAACTTTTTTGTCACTTGAGTTGTCATATATAGAGACTCGGCATGTTACTGGTGTGGTGCCATCAGGAAACTCTAATGGTAGTGCCGCTTTGAAGAGGATTAAATAAAATATCAGAAGTTAAATACCGAGAAGACAAAAAATATAAACAAAAGTTCCCTGGAGTCCGAAGAAGAACATACCTTCTCCATCATGGCAGGAGTCCGTGTACTGGTTTGGAATTGGAAACTCGAAGGATAGCCCCTGCCATAGTTAAAAAGATTAAACATTGAAAGAACAAATTCAAACCTTTATGGCATAACAGTGTGAACATATTTTTATTTCTTGCTCACCGGGTAAAACAGAGAATAAATCCCTCTTTCTTTATCATAAATCCCAGGAAAGGTTGGTCCAAAAAGTGCATAAACAGCGACAAACGTGGCCAGAGTTGATGGACCCCTGAAGTAGAAGCAAAAGACAGTTGTTACAACAGTAAACTACACCAAATCCATAAATTGATACTACTTGACTCACCCAATCATAGAAGTGGCGTAGCGCATCTGAAGCCGCTTGACATCAAATATCTCAACAAGCCGTAACCTCTGCAAACAAATTGGAAAAAAAAAAGCTAAACTAGAGTGTATATTGAACATACAAAAAAAGACAAAACTAAGTTTATTCCAGTTAAAAATATGAAGATCTTGCTTTCCACTCTTGATAGTTGAAACCAAAAGTTTGTAAAGCAGTGATGTTGGTTTAATCATACACATGCAAAAACCAAAGCATCATCTAGGAAAGAATTGTACCTGAGACCAGGGATCAAATCGAAGATGAAACCCATGATCCGGAAAGCTAATGACAACATCCAGTTTCAAAGGATCCTGCGTAAGGCAACGGTATCATAGAAAACCCAACAAACAATTAAGATAAATGGGACAAAAAAACGTATCGAATACAAGCAGTGAATTAGTACAAACCTCGTCGTAGTATTTAACATGAACAACGTCATATATGTTAGGCTGCTGCTCTATTTGAGCAAATGCTTCACAAATCGGCATTCCTGAAACAATACAACAACTTGATTCATAAGTCAAACTAATCGGAAGATGAAACAGTGAGATTATGAACTAAAACAACTAACACAACGAAAGATGATCCAACAGTTATCTAAACCACGCAGCTAATTATCGAATTTTCCACCAAAGAACTTCATCGCGATGTTATCAAAGAATTCCCAAAACAACACGCAATCTCCGATCGCAAATCGATTTGCAATCTTCCAAGTCCAATAGACGCAGCGTAGTTGATAAAATCCTTTTCGAATTCTAGAAACTAAATGAAAAGTAGAAGAAATTATGATTTTGAGAGAATCGCAATTACCGATAGAGAAAGGTCCGATGCCGACGCCGGGACGGAGATCGAACACGGTGGCGCCCATGGCGGTGCCTTCCAATCGTCGTCTAGGTCTCTGCATCACCAGTTTGTCGCCGATCTTCGAATAATCTTTCATTTGTTGGATCAGTTTCTTGAACAGAAGACAACAATTTGTTTTTTTTTTTTTCTGATTTCTGAAGTTCTGAATTGAGTCGGGTCCACTTTAGTTCCTCTTTTTGAAAACTTTTGCTACACGGGCCGGGTTTGGGCTGTTGTTTGACCTATTACGCATAATACTTCTCTACCAATTAGAATTTGACACCTACTCACCCTAATAAACTTATGAGCAATTAGGCTAAATAGCCAGAAATAATTTCAATTAAGCTAATGACCATCTAATCTACATCTAATGTTAAATATAATTCATATATAAATTGTTTCAGTTCGGTAATGTATTTTCATGCGACGAAAAATGGTAAGGGCCTGGAATTGAGATGTGACTTCGTTTGGCAAACACTTAATGCCGCTTTGTGGATAACATCATTAGTTGAGAAGATTGCGTGTTAACTCTTTAATTTGTAAGATGACAAATATTTAAGTACTCTAACCAAATAAATTAGAGATACTTTTAAAAGAAATCCCTCATGTTGGATGAAAACTTTTTTTGTTTCTCCTTATTGGCTTTTTCTTTTTTACTTCTTAGCATCATAAATCAAAGATATTGACTCGATTGAATGGTATCTTCGAAGTAATAAAACTTAGATTGAATTGAAGAAAACAATCTAACTTATTTTCAATATGAACTGACTTTTTTTTCCTATTATAACTACTACTATCATTAGGATGCGTCAAAAAAGTATATATGTTCATAATCACGATTAATTTCTTCTTCAAATCTTGTCGCCGCTATCTAACCTTTTTTCACATGTCATAAATGATCCATAACTAAGAAGAATGCTACAACACAATGAGAGGGAGATTACCAACTAAACGGAGATACATAATTAATTGATTGCATTAATTTCAGTAGTTACGTCACCTACAAAATTTTGAATAATTCGAAGAAAACATAGATCTGCAGAATGCCGTTTTACCAAAAATGTATGTTTTTCAACGTTTTCAAATCCACACCATTGAATTGATTATGTAACATTTCGCATTGGGAAGACTATGAATATCATCTATGTAAACTTGTATTAGAAAGAACAAAAGGATATATGTTAAAAAGATATCAAAGTTCAAAACTTTATAACAAAAGGCAAGTCTAACATGCACGTGAACAATGCCCAACAAAGGTACAAAAAGCCTACCTACAATACCATGTGAGTGTGGCGAATGAAGTTATTCAAGCATAGATGACCAACTCATGGTCCTATGAGATTACACTCTTTTTGGGTTACTATCTTATGTTTTTGTTTTGGGTTCTTGTTTTTCAATGTGTGAAAATGAATAAAATCATGTAGAAAGTACTTTGAATATATATATTGAGACACAATTTTTCTATTATTCTCGATGCTTGATTTCTTGGTTGGATCCTTTGTTT